GAACGTTGTGTTTTTATATGGAACTCTTTCTTGAAACAAAGGTGTGAACTTTGCTTTAGTTGAAAGCATAAAAGGAGTTCTAAAAGCCAAAACGATACTTGGATGTGATGTTTCAAAAGAAGATAATGTAAACTTGTTTTTTTCAAGCGATATTCTGGAAGTTTTTTGAACCGCCGTATGCGAGGTTCGATCGCGAACATTGGGATATGATATAAAGTTTCCTCAAGAATTTGCAGTGCTTTCTCCACAATTTAGCAGCACTTATGACAATAAAGATGACTTAAATAATGAGCCCTCTACGGATGAAATGAGCAGGGCCGAAACTCCAAACATACCACTATAAAACTGAAATTTAAATGGGCTTTTTGCGAAAACATTCGACGATAGTAGGCCTACTAACTCGCACGGGACGAATTTCGACAAACATTTTTCAAATTAATACCAAGAAGTCATAACCAGTAATTACCTAAATATCTTTGCCAATTTTACATGTATAATCCACGCTTAGTTGACCATTAACCGACACAGTTATAAACAGTATATCAAACATAATTTATATTTTGTAATTTCAAAAAAGTCATGCCTTGTTTTATGCAGAAAGCGTGTGCACGTCAGTTGGGGTATTAAATTGTTCGTGTAAAAATCTAGTAAAAATTGTCAAAATTAAACCCAAATTTCTCTGTTTTCCTTCGGTAAAATGTTTTAAAACTTTGCACATTTTTAATATCGGCACAACAAGTGCGATATCCTTTTTTCTTAAAATTAAATCGAAGGGAAAATTTTTAATATTGATTTTTGACGTTTTTTAAATTTTCTAAGAAACGTATCGATTTAATTTTTTTAAATTGAGGGGAAAAAATCATTATACAAGTATTATCTTCTTTGCAAAGTTTTAAAAAATTTCACGGAAGGGAGTTTTTAAAATGACCTGAAAAGACAATTTTTTTGCTTTATTCTAAGCATGCTGTTGCCATGACAACATATTTTTAACACAAAAGTAGCAATTTGCAATGTTCAGGAGAACATTGTCAATGTGTCCAATAAATTTCGTCTTCATATCATGTAAAGTAAAGAAACAAGAGTCTCCTGAATACTATAGTGTAGTAAATTAAAAAACCCTAGGGAGCCACCTTAATTAATCAGATGCATATATTATTCTACCCATGCAATTAAACAATTAAATGTGTAGAGATGTAATGTTCTTTCATTTACACTCCAAATCTCCGGAGTCTTTTCTACAATTATGTATACAGTACTCTCCTAAACACCACAAATTTTCTTCCGTGTACTTCAATGTCCCAGTAGTAGTTATACATTGAACCAATTACTGTTAGTAGGTCATGTAGGTTGGTATTCGTTTTTAATGGCTGGCGCGTTTATTAATAATTTATTTCAAATGTGCTTTAAGGTACAAGAATCCCACAAGCAGCAATGGAAGTATTGAGGGCGATCTCCCCTGATGAGCAAGGTAGACAAACAATGGCATAGGATATTGGGTTAAGAATTCTACAAATAGTTGCCATGCAGTAGATTCTCCAAGTGAGGTGAAGAACTCTGAAAATACCTGTTGGTTGAAATTACATAATCTAGGAACACTAACTGTAGATGTAAACTACTGTATGCACGTTTAAGTTGGACAAGGACACTGGCTTTGTTGGTAAAGACGGCTACAGCTCTTGCTTTAATGGTTTTGCATTTCAGACCCTTACAAAAAATCCACATGAATTCACACGTGTGATTTCATGTGAAATCATGTGATGACATGTGAAATTATGTGATCTTATGTGAAATTTAACATGTGAAAAAATTTCACATGAAATCACATGTGAAATTTCACAAATGAAAGGATTTCACATGAAATCACATGTGACATTTCACATGTGAAAAGATTTCACATGAAATCACATGTGACATTTCACATGTGAAAAGATTTCACATGAAATCACATGTGACATTTCACATGTGAAATGATTTCACATGAAATCACATGTGACATTTCACATGTGAAATATTTCACATGAAATTACATGTGACATTTCACATGTGAAAGAATTTCACATGAAATCGCATGTGACATTTCACATGTGAAAAGATTTCACATGAAATCACAAGTGAAATTTCACATGTGAAAGAATTTCACATCAACGTTACAAACTGATAAAGTGAAATTTCACATGTACGTGAAAGGATTTCACATGAAATTACAAGTGAAATTTCACATGTGAAAAGATAAGGATTTCACATGAATTACAAATTACAAAGTGAAATTTCGCATGTACGTGACAGGATTTCACATGAAATTACGACTGAAATTTCACATGTGAAAAGATGACGATTTCACATGAATTACAAATTACAAAGTGAAATTTCACATGTACGTGAAAGGATTTCACATTAAATTACAAGTCAAATTTCACATGTGAAAAGATAAGGATTTCACATGAATTACAAATTACAAAGTGAAATTTCACATGTATGTGACAGGATTTCACATGAAATTACGACTGAAATTTCACATGTGAATAGATGACAATTTCACATGAATTACAAATTACAAAGTGAAATTTCACATGTACGTACGTGAAAGGATTTCACATGAAATTTAGACTGAAATTTCACATGTGAAAGGATTTCTCATGAAATTACAAATTACATGTACAAGTGAAATTTCACATATGTGAAAAGATTTCACATGAAAAAATTACAAGTGAAATTTCACATGTGAAAAGATAAGGATTTCACATAAGATTACAAATTACAAAGTGAAATTTCGCATGTACGTGAAAGGATTTCACAAGAAATTACGACTGAAATTTCACATGTGAAAGGTTTCACATGAAATTAAAAATTACAATGAAATTTCACATGTGAAAGGATTCACATGAAATTGAAATGGGGTTGGGGGGATTTGAGGGGCAAACTCATATTTTTTTTTTGGGGGGGGGACAAGATAGAATTGTTAAATAGGTAGTGCTATTTGCCCATGCCGTTGTCATAGGACTTCCCCCCTCAAGGAGATTCGCCCCCCTCCCCAACCATAGGAATATCGACCCCCTTTAGGATATTCGCCCCCATATATGCGATGTGGTTTATTCAAATTTCGTGATACGTTCATCTTATTAGTGCCTTACATGTTTGAGAATTTAACTCAGCAAAACTAAAGCTTTTTTGCCTTTTTTGAAACGTATATTGGAGTATTGGCAAGTTTTACCATTCAGAGACTTACAAAATAATATTGAAACTGTGAAAACAGTATTATACGCGCATTCACTAATGACTAATGAGTAATGAGAACTTATAAACCATACTTTTTTTTTTCTTTTTTTTTTGGGGGGAGGGGCAAAATGTGGAAGTGGGCAAAATATAATTGGGGTATCCCCTGTCCCCCCCCCCCACGCCACTGAATACAAGTGAAATTTCATATGTGAATAGATTTCACATGAAATTACAAGTGAAATTTCACATGACAAATGATTTTATATAAAGTAAAAAATTGAAATTTCACATGTGAAAGATTTCACATGAAGTAAAAAGTGAAATTTTATATGTGAAAGGAATTCACATAAAGTTACAAGCGAAATTTCATATGTGATTTAAAGGATTTCACATGGACGGTAAAAAGTGAAATTTCACATAAAATCGTGCACTGCAAAACATCAAATTCTAGTCTAGAATAATAGTCTTATTTTTTAGATTATTTTTTTTATCTTAAGTAACTATTTCTTACCTTAAGCAGTATTTCAAGAAAAAAAATCTCGTTTTGAGAACAAGGCATGAATTTGAACATTCGAAAAAAAATTTTCTTATTATAAGAACAACATTTTTCCAACCTAGAATAATATCCCTATAATCAGAAAAAAACTTGAAATGAAGTTTAATATTACTTTAAATCCTTTAATTAAAATCCCACGGATAGTAAAACTAGGGAGCGCTTTTTGGTGTATCTATTTTAGAAGAAAAGTGCCACGCGCGCAATGAGTTGTGGGATATCGCGTATCAAGTGTCGAGTGTGATTTGCAAATTTTTTATTTTTTCGTTTGGATACTGATTTCGCTCAAGAAAAACTATATTCCGCTCAAGAAAAGATATAAATAGTATTGGATAAGTGACTCTAAGTCTTGCTAAAGGCTTATTGATCTCAGGTATGTATCATTACTCTTTATATCATATAATTATAACGTCCATCGACCCAATTATTTCACATGTACTAGCCTGAACATGTGGCTGCTAAAATTTGAAATATTTGCGCGCGCGAGATTTTATATATTGAAATTATTTCATTTCAATGCCGCCAAATATTATAGGCTGTGGGCTGTTGGCCAAAATTATTTCGGTTCGTGACCCCCATGTGAGAAATACTTGGTTTGGGGTTTATTTGAAAGATATATAGGTACATCACTACCAAAAAAAGTTCCCAAGCAAAAAAGTTGCCCAATCCCGAGAAAATGGGTGATCAATGATTATCCTCTATTAAATTGTATTACAGCAAAAATATGAGAAATTCTGTATTCAATTACAATAAAAATGACTTGCATCATCGGAAAACGTACAAAAAACCGCATACAAGACTTTTAAACAGTTTTTTGATTTTTCGAATAGTCTTTGAGTTATTGCTGTTTTAAATGTGAAAATTGGACCAAAATGTCGCAATAAGGACTGGGTACTAGGTCAAAAACGCGTTTTGACAGCGTATAACTCGAAAACAATTATAGATATAAAAAAACTGTTTAAATGTCTTATATGTAGGTTTTTGTAAGCTTTCTGATAATGCAAGTCATTTTTGTTGTAATTGAATACAAAATTTTACATTTTCTTGCTGTAATACAATTTAATAGAGGATAATCACTGATCACCCATTTTCTCGGTGTTGGGCAGGTTTTTTGCTTGGGAACTTTTTGTGGTAATTAAGCATCTATTGTTCTATGAATTGAACCACAGAAAATCTATTTCCCAGATGGGTGCCACGAAATTGCTTTTCTAGGCACTTTTTTGCACAACAGCCCACGGCCTACCAACAATTCAAATTTTGAATAAGCACATTATATAGTGTATTATTTGAAACAATATGTGAAATGTGATCATGAATGTAAATATGGGTTTGCTACAAAATGGCTTGCAAGCCTATTCATACCAAAACATAAGAATTATTTGAGAGTATTAATTAAATTATGTTCTTTTAATCACATCTCCCCTGGAATGCCTGGATTTCCAAGGTCTTTCAAGTCATTGAGTGCCAGCTCTCTCCCCTTGACAAGTAAAATCACCTAGGCATTAATTCTGCCTACTTCTAGGGTTACTGGCCGGGTTAGACAGAGTAAAATTAGTGGTGTTTTCACTACAACTAAACCTTGACCTAGCCTTGGCCAGGCCAAGGTATTTAAAATGTGGCACGTTTACAGCATTACACTATTCTTTTTAGACAGGCCCGCTTTGGCCTAGAATTTTGTTATTAATTTTGTGTATTTTTATGTGCTGTGATGTTGTCCGCTGGTTGTCTGCTAATCTCTCACTGTGGACACACATTGCCATAAAAATAAGGCCCCGGCCAGGGCCGAAAGTGTTTACATTTA